TAAGAATTTAGCCTCAATTTAAAAAATATGAAAATTTATTGTAAAATTTTAACCTTTTTGTCTCATTCTTATTTGTGGTCTGTCTTCTTTTTTTTCTTTTTTTTTTTTGTAGTTCTTTGCTATTTTTCTTTTTCCTTTTCTTTTTATTTACCTTATTCTCTATTATATTCTCATTTTCTCTTTTCCTGTCTTTCTATCTTCAGCTCTCTCTCTCTCTCTCTCTCTTTCTTTCTTTCTTTCTTTGTATATTCTTTGACTTTTCTCACCCATCTATTTTTTAGACTCTCACTTTTATTCACTTTATATTCTTTTATTTTCTTTCTTATTTTTATCTCCTCCTTTCTTCTCTAAATTCATTTCGCTTCTTTCAATCACTGTATCTCTTCTCTCTGCACTGATTGATTACCTTATGATGTCACATAAGAAAATACCTGTTCCTCTTCTATGCATCGTGTCTCTTAAGAACATTGGCCATCATGGCTCCACACAATTTCCTGTCCTTCGTAGCTCTTAATTTTGTCTTTTTGTTATCTCTCCTAAAGCCTGCTCTGCCATCCATTAACTAAAGCTTGCTCAGTAGGTTGTGCATTGTTTTCCTCTATCCTTCTTACCCTCAATCTATCCTGTGAGTATCAAATTTTTGAAGCCCTCTTTCCTCATTATGTGTCCTAGAAATTTCAAATGCCTCTTTCTGATGTTAAGTATAAGTGTACTATTTGTTTCCATTTTCTATAAAATTTCATCATTGCTCACATATTTGGTCCCTTGAATTCTCAGCATCCTTCTCTAGAACTACATTTCTAACGATTCTTGTCTCTTCTTCCTCTGTGAGGAGATTGTCCAGCATTCACTGCCATATAAGAGAACTGGTATTATATAACAGTTCAGTACTCTTTTCTTTGTTTCTAATGAAATTTTCCTGTTTTTGTAATCAGTTTTTAAATGTTTTATCACTGACTTTGTGTTTCTCTCTACCAATATGCTTTTTGGCTATTGGAAAAAAAACTTTTGTTAGATTTTCATTAGATTAACCTATTTGGTGACTGCAGAGAATTTAGTGAGATCTACATCTCCTATACATGCTCAATGGTATTTAAATCTGGTGGGTGAAGCTATAACATAGCATCTGGACACCAACACAGTGTCCCTGGAGAGAGAGCTGCATTATCTTGCTAACAAAAAACATCTACATCGGGAAATATGGCAAGTTTAAAGAGAGTATGAAATGGTCTAGACAGACTCCAGTTTTTGTATCAACCCTTGCCAACACCATAAGAACATACCCAATAACATTATAGGGCCATCACTAGCTTGCACAACACAATGCCGACAGCCTGGATATCCAAAACTCATGTGATTATCTTATACATGTCCTTGACTGTTTGCTTAAAATAGCTGAAAATTGGACTTGTCTGACCAGAAGACCTGCCACCAGATTTTCATAGTTCTGTAGTAATATTATATGGCTGTTAAAAATGGCTTTAATCAAACAAAGCATGTAGGCTTTGGTAAGGACTACCCTTCTTTGAACCTTGTAGACTGGCACTACAGAATCACAAAGAACAGTACCAAATAACAGAAACCACATCACTTGAGAACTTTCAACAGCTAAAATGGATATCACATGTAACTCAATAATGACATAATTAAGAACTTAATGGACCACACTTCATCAACAAAAAGTTAGGAAGGACCCCCCCAAATCATCATTACTGGAAAGAGCAATAACATTGCACTTGAGAAACATACTTTCCTGAAAAATTGTTTTAATAGAAAGGTTTTATAAATTTCAACTAGCAGTAGCACACTAGCTATTTAGTCAATGAATGCCAAATGTTTCCTTATAAGGAAAGCATTAATATTACTATTACCATCTTTGTACGCCTTTCATACTCAACCTATTTCTTGATGGAGATTGCTTTTTTCATGCAAGATAATGTGAGCTTCATTCACACTGTGTTAATGACACCAAACAACCCTGTGCTAACTTTCAAGTACTACAATACCCTCTGCTCACCAGCTTTAAATCCCATTGAGTATATATGGGACACTGTAAATAATGGTACTTTTGTTGGTTGATGACTATGAAACCCTAATGTGTTTATGATTATATCTACATACCTTTTATAACGTATATTCTGTTATTTATGCTTACATTAATTCCTAGCCACTGACAATCCATCCTTCCTAATTTTCAAATGCAACATGCTGGTTGAATGCTGAAATGTGCTAAAACAAAATTCACTGTTTATTCGTTGGGGATTTTTTTTTATCTCCCACCAGAAATATTTGTTAGATTTAGTCATTCTTTACAATAAGTTGAAGAATGGAGAAATAGTGGCAAAGTCATTTGGCAGTGATAAGAAAGAAAGCCCCAAACCTTGTCTCCATTTGCTATGTTTAGTTGCACTTGTCACTAAAATAAGCAACATTATTGTTTTCTTTTTTTTCTCCTGTCAGAATTTGTTGTTAATCATTAGGATGAATGAAAGTTTTGACTATTTGTTTAATAAATCCTGCTTATGCTATCACAGATTATATAAACAGTGAGTTAATATTAGTTAATTACTATATAACAAATGTGAAGGAATTATCTGTCTTGACCCCTGTTGTTATAAAATGGGGCATTAGAAGTCTTTTTCCATGTATAATGAATTGATATTTTTTTACAGAAATACACAGATGGTTACCATCATTTTTGTATCATATATACAATACATTCAAGTCAATATTAACACTAATTTGTGTTGTATCAATTATTTTCCTGACTCCCCAAAATATGAAGTTCAGGGAATGTATTAAAGGCTTTATATATATATATATAATTTTATTTTTTTCCAATAAACACTTTAAATAAAGCAAGAACTCAAAGAAAGCTAAAGATTCATTCATTAGTTGTATTTTAAAAGCCCCTCTACAAAAATGACATCAAAAATAAAATGTTTTATCACATTATTTAAAAATACACTGATTCTTTTTCACAATTTTTATTAATAAATATATATACACGCACACATACAACTTCCTAAAATTTGACTGAACAACATTTTTGTTGGTCAGGTTGAGAACTTTTCAACACACTGTGTGTGTGTGTGTATATATATATATATATATATAGAGAGAGAGAGATAGTGGGAGACTAATTTCATTCATATATATATCCAACTAACTAAAAGTTTCATGCAAAGATGTGATCCTTAGATGTTTCAAAGAATAAATATTACTTGTAGTAGAATAACTTGGAAGACTGTTTTATCAATTATTATTAGCAAACTCATAATTGTGTGCTCCATAATATTTTACTTTCTACTAAGTTAATTTGTAAAACACTATGTAGATATTTTAATGCCGTTATATCTCATCTCTTGTATAGCTGTTAAATCTGGTCACTATATCAAGACATATATGTTTCAAGTAATTTTCACAATAAGAATAAATATGGAAAATCCAGTACTTAAATTATATACTTACAGCACTCCAAGGGATGGAGTGGCGAATGCACAAAATTTGATCAATTTTCCTGCTTTAGAAGGTATATATATATATATATATATATATATATATATATATATATATATATATATATATATATACTTTTTTAAACTAATGAATTTTTATTTATCAATCCGACACATTTTTTCACCATTTTATTTTTAGTGGATACTCTTATTTTAGTAGACACTCCATTTATTTATTAAACACTATATTTATTTTATTTTTGTCTACTGGCATGAATATTCAAGAAATCTTATTAAAGAAGAATATGTGCTCATCAGCAAGATTCAAACCTGCATCCCTCTGGGCAGAGGGAATTTGTTGTTAAATCCAATACGTCTTAACCAACTTGGCTACAGAGCACCCTTGCCAACTGATATGTCCTGGAAAGGGATATATTTGATTGAAGTAGCAAAGTGGGTTTGGCTACTGTAACCAAGTAGTACACGGTAGCAGTAATCAACCGGTACTCATCGTAGTCACAGGTGATAGGTGTAGACCAATAGGATAGCCAATGGCGTAGTCCAATGGGCGTCGTCATAGACTTAAACTCTTGGTCTCTCTGTCAGTCTGTATTTATGACTGACATCAGCCAATCATATTCCAGTGAGGGGGAACACAGGTGTATGCATATTCCATTATATCATCAATCAAGCAAAGTTTGAACAGTGCCTTCAAGCAAAATCATTTTTATCAATAATTCATGTACCACTTGTTGTAGTAGAATAACTTGGAAGTGTTTTATAAATTATCATTAGCAAACTCATAATTGTGTGCTCCATAATATTTTACCTTCTGCTATACTAAGTTAATTTGTAAAACACTATGTAGATATTTTAATGCTGTTATATTCTCATCACTTGTATAGCTGGTCACTATATCAAGATACATGAAATGGTTCAAGCAATTTTCACAATCATGTATTTATTCTACAACTCCTGTGGCAGAACCATAAAATCCTGAAAACTTGGTTATGGTGGACTGGTGATAGAATCTGCATGGATGCTTCTAGGTCAGATGTTCTATTGATAACTGGAATATGGTAGTCTTGCTCATGGTCACCTGAGGGAGAGGTAAAAGGATAGCTTGGTGGACTAAACTCCAGTTCAGTGGACTCAAACCCTTTGCTACTGACTGGTCCAAGTGATGTCATTTGTTTGCTGGAAGCAGATAATTTTCATGTTGTGAGTATTATGGGGAAAGTGTCCACTCCTCTTCCAACAAGCAGTTTTCCATGCCCCAATTGCAACAGTATCTGCACATCAGACGTCAGAAGTCACTAGCTTGTCCACATAACCTACTTTGTATTAATAGAGACTATCAAGATGAGGATACAGAATGAATTCTGTGAGACATTTCTAAAGAAGGAAGTGAAAATCAGTGTCACTCCTAATGGCTTGTGAAGACCAACATATTATTCTTTGAATGTTTACATGTGCTTCCTATTTATGACTTTCTCATGAGTTCCTTTCACAGTTACTGCTATGCACATAACCTTCCAAGATATGTGCATCTTTCACACAAATACATTTCTTGCCTTTCTCTCACTTCATTCCTATCTCTTTTCAGTCTCTCTGTTAATCCTTAATTCACTCTTCCTATTTCCATCTTCACTCTGCTTTCTTTCTTTACTTCTTTCTGTATATCTCTTTTTCCACTCCCTCTTTTCCATGTCCTCCCCTCTCCTTCTCAACTGCCCACCCACTTTGAGCATGTCCTAAACACAAAATCCATTAAGTTTTGTCTCGGAAGAAACAAGTCAACCATGATATTGACTTTTTTTTTCAGTTGGACTTTAATTAACACTCAGCTGTACATTTGGGAAAACTGCAAGACATGGATTGTCACTTTGAAATTAGTGTCAAAGAAACTCTAAACCCAACAAGTTTGAGTTTTCCTTTCTATTACCAATTGTTTTAGTCACATTTCATGGAATTTACTTGGCCTCACTCATTCCTCTTCTTTCAGCTGCTAATTTTCTTGTTCATATCTCCAATGTCTTCATTACACTTACTATCAATTGAGACCCTTACTGTCTGTCACTCTTTCAATTTATTGTTTTATGGTCTCTGTTGACACTGCTTGATCTGTAGACATTAATCCAAGCTCCTCTTCTACGGATCATGTTCCTTCAAGATGTGGATGATCATGGCTCTTCATAACCTCCTATCCCTTGTAAACTTTAGCAATGTTTGTTCTTTTGCCAAGCCTCCCACCCCATGTTTCACCATCCATTCAAGCTGTCTTTCCCTGTTCCTTTAGCATTTGATAATGGCCTGTGAGTCAATTTTCCAAACCTTCTTCCACATTATGTGTCCAAGAAATTTCATCAGTCCTTTTCATTTTCCATTTTCATTAAGACTTAGTTGCTTACATATTCTGTCCATGGTATTCTCAGCATCCTTCTGTAGAACTATGTTTCTGGTGCCTCCAGTTTTCTCTTCATCTGTGAGGCATTGTCTAGCATTCTCTGTCATATAAGAGGATCGATATTACATAATGTTTCAACACTCTTTTCTTTGTTTCTAATTAAATTTTCCTGTTTTTTAATACTTTAATTAACTTTTGATTGATTCATTCATTCATTTTCTATGGCTTAACCCTTTGCTAATTATTTAAAACTAGAAAATATCTTAGATTGTAAGGATAATAATGGTTTAGTGATACAAATTTTACTAATTAAACCATAGCTAGGAGAGAGGAGATTGATTCATACCTTTCCCAAGAATAATTGCAAGTAAGTGAATATGACAAACCCAACTGAAATTGGAACTCAGCTCTCTGATTAACAACTCCAAGCCATTATCCATTATATTGCCCACACATCCAAGCTTACAACATCTAGTATTCCCAAATGGTTACCTATCTAGGTACAGACCAGGCTGAACGTTGCTTAACTTTGGTGATTATAGAGGAACTGGTATTTCAACATGATCTAGCTGTAAGCCTTCTTAGCTTTTGAAATGAATCTTTTGCTCTTCCAATGCATGTTCGGATTTTGGAGCTGCAATTTCCATTATCTGTTAAAAACACATCGCATTTTAAACTTCTATATTTGTTTGATGTTGATTTCTCCAAGTCATAGTTCACAAATCTGAGCTCTACTTACACATAATTACTTATTTAGTTCTGGATTTTCCGTGAAGGTTTCATTCTGTCTTTCTCTTTCAACGTTCAACCTTTGTATCCTAAAATTATCCTAAGTTTTTGAAGTATAATGTAGCAAGATATGATGTGATGACCAAACCAAGTGTTGACTGGTTTGTTGGTTGGTTGTTTTGTTTTATGGCATATCAACCTCAGTTGGTCATTTAATGCCAACAAAATTTTTTAAATAGGTTCATAGCAATAGTTTAGAAAAAAAAGGTGTGTATGTATACATATATATTTGAACCATTTTTCAGTTACTCATATTTTTGAGTACAATGTAACTTAAGAATGTATAGCTATTTGTATTATTGGTAATTTATTTTTTTTTTAAGTATTGCTGATAATAATTTTTCCTTCAAAAATTATTGCTAGTAATAATTTTTTTTTATTACAAAGTATTTCTGGTATTAAAACCTATTTTCATTCAAGTTTGGGTATTAACTATTTGCCCATAGCTGGGACCCTAACAGGTGCTACCACCCCAGATCAGGGTGAACCAGGGAACACCAGCAATTAAGATGTAGTTCCATGCTCCTCAAAACTTCCTGATCAGAGGCCTTGTTGTTGGGTGTAGTTTATTGTCTTACCCAGGATGCAGATGTAGTTTGTCATACCCAGGATGCCAAATGTTGACAAATATTTTACAAAACTTGTAATTTTATTAAGCATGTGCAGGTAGTATAACAATTAGTGATACAAAAAGTGAAATTGGGGAGCTGAGTTCAAGTTTTGGCCAAGGTTGTTGTATTTACTTTGCACTAATGGTAGGCTGCTTATATCCAAGTATGCCTATCTGCTAGAGTGAATAATCAATCCCTGTTGCAGACGCCTGCTCAGGTATATTTATTCAACATCCACCTGTGGTTTATACTACAACTATGCTGAGCAGACCATAGTTACAGTTTTTGAGGGATTTTTTTTAACAGTTTTTAACACAATTTTTGGAATAATCAGCAATACACTCAAACCCTCAGTCATGATGACTTGTGACTTCATGCTAACACAACCATTGATGGCTCTCAAATAGTTCCATCTTCCCAATTTCACTCACAAAGCTTGAGTCAACCAATAGTATAGTTTTCAGGCACTTTCCAAAGGCCCATAACATTAAAAAGTCATTTTCCTGACAAATTGACCATGGTGAGATTCTGAAAGTAAATGTTCTAACCACTTGACCACACACCAATACTTTGCACTAATTCCCTTACAAATCCAACTCTCACAGTTATGGGTTAAATAATAAGGTAGACTTGTCTCTCTCGTCTCGGGTAGCAGCTAGTTTAAAAGGAGGGCTACTTTGAATTCTAAATCGTAGAGAAAGCAACAAGAATAGCCATGATGTCCCGAGATGTCAAGAAAAGGAATGTGTGGAGGGCTACGATCACCTATGTCTTGAAGGGACATGACTTAAAAAAAATCATGCTAATTATTTCTACTCCATCTACATGTCTACTTTAGACATGTATGAGATTCATTGTTGAAAGAATGTACTATTAAAGTAATTTTTTTTTTAAATTAAATGAGTGCATAGTAGATTTATTGGTTTGTTCGACAACAGGTACAAGGAAGATGAAAGAAGATAATCCAGCTTTGAATTTGGCTAATGCAAAAAGAGTTAATATCACTACTTAAATTGACTGGTCTGCTTATAAAAAAAATGGAAAAAATATTTTGGGGGGGGAATAATTTTTGTAGATTAACATTCAGTATATCTTCCTCAAGCAACATGTATTAGAATTGAAAAGTATAGATTTCTTTTTATCAGCTTAGGAATGCATACCTGTTAATAAAATAATGTCAAATTGATTCCTGGCTTTTTAAAGAGTTATTTGTATTAGTTTTTATTTACCAATGTCAAGTTTCCATCTCCAGACTTTATCTCCCTCATTTCTGTTACTGTTTGATAAAGTACATTTTGGGATATCATGTAGTAATATTTTCAAATTTAAATAAATTAATAAATGTATATATCCGTTTATTCTTCAATTAAGATAAATAATTATCCCTGTTTGTGAAAGTACCTCTGAAAAAAATTTTTTTTAAATTGAAATCGTTTTAATTATTGAAAGATAACATCAGTTATATGCAGATGTTAATGATAGAAGCAGTGTCAAAGTTAACATTTTTAAATATAAACTAAGTACAACTAACTCTTTAAAAAGTCTGAGATTCATTTGATAACTTTATTTATATTATGAACTGAACTTTTAAAAGAAAAATGAATATTTTTTGATTCTGAGAAATGTTGGGGCTTGATGAACTTTTAATGAATGTTATTCTATAAAAATGATTACCCCCCCCACTCACCCCAAAAATATTTCCCAATTTTTAGAAGTGGCCCAGTCAATTTAAGTAGTGTTAAGTAGTGAGAATCATATTATAATTTTGCGTGTTCCTATGTTAGTAATTTAGCATGTGCATTACACCCTACCATTACCTCAGATAAATAATGGACCATTACTGTTTTGACTGCAAGGGAAGAGAGAAGAAAAAGATATATCAGAAACACTATTTACTTTTATTAAGTAAAAGAAAGCATACGTAATAATAAAAAGGGAAGATGGAAGAGGTGATAACACTCTCGTGCATTTACTATTTGTTGCAGTTAAATAGAAAATCTTGGCAATTTTGAATCTTCACAAGAAGGTAATTCTTATTTCATCAAATAATGACCTGCATTCATAGCGAAAATTTTTATTACAATATCTTGTTAATGTTGTTAATATGAAATATTTAATGATGTAATAAGAAAAATTTCACAGAGATTTTATAGTCACAGAACTCACAAGGAGTTATTCAATCATTAACTTAAGAATTGTGATTCATCAAAAAATTCAAATAGGAAAACTGAAATTTTCAAAAGTACAACTAGTAGTTTTGAATTTGGTTCATGCACCTGAGGAAGGGATGTCACTTGAAATTCATTCACACATACCTTCTTCACTTTCATAGTAGTATGTATATGCAAGTCTTGTCTCTCATATGCATTACAAAGAAAGAATGCTCATGTCTAAGAGAAAATATTTGTAGTTGTACAATTCTTTTAAATTGAAATTAATGAAGGATTATTTTATCTCAATCCATGTTGCTTATTAGTAGAAAAATGACACAAGAATTGCAGATGAAAAACACTCAAAATAAGATGAAAGAAATAGAAGTTAAAAATTAATAATGATTGACAATGCTTCCTCTAAAATATTCCTGGACTAATTAAAAATAATACAATAGAAATAAACAAGATGGGTGCATATTATTGATTGAAGAAGTAGAGAATGGAGCTGTGGCCATAATTTGAACAACATACGTTTTACACTGAGAAATCAATGTGGGTGCTGTGACATGTTCACTCGTATAAGGGATACAAGTTCAAATCTAGAGGGATACTGATTATTTGTTTCTGCTGCATTAATGGTGAGAGAATAGCGAAATGAGATTTGAAGTAAGATGTAATAGACATAAGATGAAATAATAATAATAATGAAAGATTATTTTAATCTAAACAGAAACAAAGAAAAGAGTGCTAGACTCTAGATGATATCAGTCCTCCTATATAATAATGAATAC